TTTTTTTTTTTTTTTTTTTTTTTTTTTTTTTACTGTTTATTGTGCCTTTTACTCAAAGTGGCTTTTGTCCAGTCATTCTATCATAAAGGCCTGATTGATGGAGAGCTGCTGAGATGGTCATCCTTCCGGCAGGTTCTCCCATCTCTGCATTGGACTTCTGAAAGTCTGTCTGAGTGGCCACTGGGTTCTAGCTCACCTCTGGCAAACATCAGTTTTATCCACTTATAATAACACAAAGTGTGTAAAAGTGAAGGAGTCTGAATACTTTCTGAAACCACTGTGTGAGTGAGTGGAGATAAAATTACAAAACAGATGCTACCATAAGTTGAGGAACTGAGAATTGAAAGTTTGCCTCAGCAAGCTAATACATAAAGAAATAAATATATTCAGGCTAAGCATCACATTTTGACCACTAAGCTGAGATCTCACCAGATTATGGGTTATATAATCAGTCCCTTTTCTTGTCAGGCTGCCATGCTTTGTCATCGCTCTCAACTCCTGTGGTTTCGTTACCTGTACATCACCTTCTCATGCTACATGTTCATAAACACATTCCAAATGATCCCTCAAGAACCAAAGAACTTGAAGATCTATTAAAAGTGTGTGCTATCTGGTGTACTACTAGATGTCCCACTGCCTGACTACTCAAATACAGTGGTAGGAGTGAAATTACTAGCTGTTTACACATTTAATGAGCCATGTTGCACTTAAGGTGAATACAGATTTCTTAGATACTTTAATGGCTAAAGTAGCCTGAATACTTTTTCCTAAGCATTTTCTATGAATAAAGCTGACTACAATTTTGAAATAACAATAACTGAAACACTTAGTTCCTTTTGCTGCAGAAATGTCTTTATTGTTTTCAGTCATTATGTATAAAACAAAACAATGGTTTGAATTGTTTGGGGAGCTGCTTGATAATACTGTACAATATTTATGGGGTACTATTGCTACTGATTAAAAAAAACAGTGGTTCTTATTCATACAGTTGTGTTACTTTGTTTCTCTTAGCTGCATTTCTCCTGCAGGTTGTGACATGCCTCTGATGGTCCTGTGAGCTTGCATGCTATTCATACAGCTGTGTTACTTTGTTCCTCTTAGCTGCATTTCTCCTGCAGGTTGTGACATGCCTCTGATGGTCTTGTGAGCTTGCATGCTTTCTTCCCACTTCTCTCCACAAAAATTCTCCACTGTGACACTACGCACAGTCCCTGGATCCAAACAGTGTGGAGAAACACCTGGGGAGAAACAACAGCAACAAAGGACTGTTTAGTAATTTTAATATAACAATACAACCCATTTTTCCGGCACACTTCAGTGAAATCTTGACTTTGCCACTTCAGGAATGCTAAGTATTCCTAGTTCATTATTTTCCTGATATCATTGTTAGATCATTCATTGTGAACATACATTTCTGCTTTTTAAACACACTATAAAAGTATAGTATTAAAAAGCAGACAGTGTTGGTTAGTTTGGAGTCAACATAACAATGTGAGTGACTTGTGACAACAGGTTGGTAGTCGTACCATATCCATCGGGGTTGGAGCGTGGAGTGTAGAAACTCTGAACTCCACAGATTTTACAGAAAGTATGTTGAGCAACATGGGTGTTAAATGTGTATGTGGTGAGATCATCCAAGCCCTGGAAAGAAAAAAACATTCACTTGAAATGTTCTAATGATTTTTAAGTTAACTTGTGAAGCATAGTTTCTTACCTCTAAGAGTGTGAAGTAACTTTTTGGAACAATAAAATGATGGTTTTGTTTCTTTGTGCAAATGCTACAGCTGGAGAAACAAGCATATATCAGTTTATATTTGCTAAAAAAGTGTACAAACAGCAAATCAGTGTTTCAAATCCACTTAGCATGATGATAACTTGTGTGGGTTTCCTTTTAAATACCCAAACATAAAATTGTAGCTTCTCTGTCAGAATTACAATTTTGACAATGGCTACCTGTTAAATTTACATTTAAAATAAAATATCTTAATTTCATTGTTTACATACAATTATGAAACTGTATCACTGGTTTAATTATCCATACTTGCAGTGAAAAACATGGAGGTCTGGGGAACTCAGGACTTCAAATCTAACAGCCCCACAGTGGCAGCCGCCTGTATGTTTTACAAACTCCATTCTGTAGGAATGAAGAAAATCAGAAACCATCATGTTACTGTAAATACATATGTTCATATTTTAGTATTCTGGGATGGCAAACCTTACTTTAGTTTGATGTTGACAAGTATAAGCACAGTTACATATTTACCCAGCTACTTCATCAAGCTCTGGTGAAACCAGTGTGATGTGTTTGTTGTGAAACCTGCTGACATGGAACTGGGTGTCCCTCCCAGTTTCAGCAGTGCTGCCAAAGAAAGCACAGATGACCTTAATCACCTGATGCACTGACAAAGAGTAATTTACACAGAAAGCTATTAACTATTGATGTCACTGAATATGTCAATTCAATTTAAAGGTGGGTCCCGCTAATGAAAGCCAGTCATGTTTGTTGTCCTGAGCCATGGACACTTTTATTTCATGTGATGCAAAACCTGTGTCAGCTTCCACAGTGCTCAGTACCTGTTTCCTGAAAGGCTGTTTTTCCTGGAACACTTTGAGAGAGCGTATAATTACAAGCAAGGGGCAGGGCAGAGTACAGTGGACTTGCACAAACGCATTCCTCAGAGACTGAACTAGTTCAGCCAGCCCTGGCTTGATGCATCATGGATGTTGGGTATCATATGACAGGATGCTGGAGGGGTGGGGTGGGGTGGTGACCCAGATAAATAAATTAGGACTCTCTGAACTGTATCAAAGCTATGACCCAAAAATAGAAACCCAGTACACAACCCCATCTGAGCTGTTGCTCTCTGACTTAATTTAGTTTACAGGGCCATAAAATGTCTTAAACTATGGTAAGTGCTAAAAATGGGAAGTCAAATCACTGGTCAGTACTTGCCAGTTAACAGAAAACTGTCACTATCTTGCTATCAGTTTATGTTCATGGCTAAAAAGTGCCCTTGCCTCATAATCTGTATAAGCCGATTTCTCTATTAAATGACATACTTTACAATGGTGTTGGCTGTAAACATAAATGTATTCTTTATTTAATTAGTATAGTGTAATCATTAAACCTAATATGCATAAGGACTGCAAATGAAAGACATAATGTAGCTAAAAAAGACCAGTTGGCAGTGTTAACTCTTTTACCAAGCACGTGTCCATTAGAAAACTGAACAAAGTCCACGTGTATGTAATACCAGACCACACTGTCATGACCTTCTTTTTCACAAGACTTTGCCTACATTGTCTCATATCATAACTTAGTCATCAAATATTACTTACTGTTGCACGGCAACCAATCGCTGGTCAAAAAAACAAATGTGTCATCCAATGAAACGCTCGGGGAAGATTCCCGTTGCTGTGGGGTAGTTCTCGCAAATTCTGCAGCTAGAACCGCAGTGTAGTGAGATATTATTCCGCCGTGCAGGATATGTGAAAAACATCGTTTTCAGGCATACTGTTTTGACTAAATATTTAGGTTTGTGGGTAAATATATAGTCATCACACAGAACAATCTAATAAAAAATAAATTTTGTATGTTCACATAATGCAAATCGGAGCAGTGGGAACTACTTTCAAATGCGGACGGATATTGCATATGATGTATGGCACTCCAGTATATAATGTGGTGCTGGCCGGAGACGTGTAGTTCTTTAGCGGAAATCTGAGAAGATTGAAGTCGTATCAAGCTCTAATTTTTCAACTGCGCTTTTTTTATTGTGAGTACTAGTTATCGGCTGTTTCTTTTCTGTGTTATCTGTAGTTAAATTGTTAATACAGATGATGTTTTAGCAGCTTGTTTGGTGACCAATATCATGTATTCCATCTTCGGCTAAGAGAAATGTTAAGTCCTGTTTATGTTTAGCTACGTTACTGTTTGTGATAAATATTGTTTTTAGTACGCACTGAAGTTTGACGGAGAAACAACCTGTAATTTTGATAGCGCTAAAACAAAGCCGTGATTAGCTAAAAGTAGCAACAGCAATGACTCATCAATTTCAGTAGCGTTTAATGGCGCTTGACGTTTGCTGAACAAAGGGAAGGTCGTTGGGATCTCAAAATGGCGCACGAACTCGAATGGCGGCCCTTCATTGTGTCATATGACGATTTTACATACATACATAAATGAGTTTTTTTCTTAAGCGTGTGTGTGAGAGAGAGAGACACACACACACAGACAGAGAGAGAGAGAGAGACTTGGTTATTTAAGCTAACTTTAAAATATGTTTTCCCCAAGTCTGTATGGAGAGTTCTTGGCTGAAACATGACCTTTAAATGGCACATAATACTGAAATTGGTTCCTGGTTAATGTTTTTTTTTAATTTATTTATTTTTATTTTGCTTAGGTATGAACATGCAGATCTTTGTGAAAACCCTCACTGGCAAGACCATCACCCTGGAGGTCGAGCCCAGCGACACCATTGAGAACGTCAAGGCTAAGATCCAGGACAAGGAAGGCATTCCCCCTGACCAGCAGAGGCTGATCTTTGCTGGCAAGCAACTGGAAGATGGCCGCACCCTCTCCGACTACAACATCCAGAAAGAGTCCACCCTCCATCTTGTCCTGCGTCTGAGGGGTGGCATGCAGATCTTCGTTAAGACCCTCACTGGCAAGACCATCACCCTGGAGGTCGAGCCTAGCGACACCATTGAGAACGTCAAGGCTAAGATCCAGGACAAGGAAGGCATTCCCCCTGACCAGCAGAGGCTGATCTTTGCTGGCAAGCAGCTGGAAGATGGCCGCACCCTCTCCGACTACAACATCCAGAAAGAGTCCACCCTCCATCTTGTCCTGCGTCTGAGGGGTGGCATGCAGATCTTCGTTAAGACCCTCACTGGCAAGACCATCACCCTGGAGGTCGAGCCTAGCGACACCATTGAGAACGTCAAGGCTAAGATCCAGGACAAGGAAGGCATTCCCCCTGACCAGCAGAGGCTGATCTTTGCTGGCAAGCAGCTGGAAGATGGCCGCACCCTCTCCGATTACAACATCCAGAAAGAGTCCACCCTCCATCTTGTCCTGCGTCTGAGGGGTGGCATGCAGATCTTCGTTAAGACCCTCACTGGCAAGACCATCACCCTGGAGGTTGAGCCCAGCGACACCATTGAGAATGTCAAGGCTAAGATCCAGGACAAGGAAGGCATTCCCCCTGACCAGCAGAGGCTGATCTTTGCTGGCAAGCAGCTGGAAGATGGCCGCACCCTCTCCGACTACAACATCCAGAAAGAGTCCACCCTCCATCTTGTCCTGCGTCTGAGGGGTGGGCAGTAAACTCATCTAGATTCTATGTTTTGAAGGTTCTCTCACAATGTTCTGTGAATTACATGTTGTATTGGTGAGTTAATGAAGTATGGTGTTTTAACCTTAAAAAAAAAAAAAAAAAAAAATGCAAGTCACTTAATAAAGGATTGAACTTTAACTTTCTGGTGCTGTTCATTCTTGGTACCAAACTACAGTTGCTTTTATATTGTGAAAGCTAACTGAATAAAAATCTTGGTCTCCATAAAAGTAAGCAGAAATGGTGGAAGTCAAATATTTTGGTTATAATAGGAATAAAGTAAAGGCATACTTCAGCCTTATGTTTGTGAAGGACTTTTCAGCTGCTTCGGTAAGGGCAGCCATTTCATGAGGCGTGTTTTAGGGATTATGACGGTGTTTTAAACTGCCAAATTGTTAAATGGGGGTGGGGAAGTAATTGGCTTTTTAACTACCACATGTTGGAGAAATGACACCTGCAGGACTGAATGTTTTGCATTCTAATAAAGGCAAGATTTGTTTCTAAGCAGTTGCATGCAGTGATCTGGTCTACATCAGTCATGATCTTACTGAAAGGTGGTGTTTTGTAGTCCTTACGTTTGCAAAAATTAGGTGCTGAAGAAAATGGCAATTCCACTGCCCATACTGTTAAATGTGGGTAACATAATTTTGTAATCAAAATCATGTGACAAGTAAAGCAGGTTTAGAGATAATGCTTCGTAGTTAATGTGCTGCACAAAGCCAGCACATTGTGTTAACCAGTATATATGTGAATACATTTTGGGAAATTAAAGGACAAGTTGGTTTTAATCTATAGCAAGTAAATTGCAAATTTTAAGTACTAGTCAACTGAGCCCAAAACTGTACATCCTCTAGTTCATGTTGCATTAAATGTTTTAATTTTTAATTATTTTAATGCTGAGATTCCAGTAGTCTGGTCTGTACATTTAATAGACTTTCAACAGTATGGCCAACTGTGAATCAGTTGAAAGGAGGTTGATAGCAGGAGGTAAGTTCTGAGTAGAGTTTTTGTGACTGTTGAAGTAGTTTGTATTCACGAGGACGAGGATATGGTGCCAACTATTCTTGACCAAAGGGTCGACCGGTTACACCAAGAAAAGATGAGGTTAAAAAACTAGTAGATTTTCAATCAATATGTTCAAAATGAGATTTGGCATCTGATGGATGAGGAGGCATCCCTCTCTTGACAACAGCCAGAAGGAGTTCACATGGATTGATGTAAAGTACTTTAGCTGTGGTTTTATTAACTTTAACAGTGGTTTTAATTTAGTTATTTAGATGACTTTGTATTATGCTCCTAGAAAGCACAGTATTTGAGAAATCAATCCTGACAAGAGACAAAGGTTGCTCAAATGTCTTCTGAAAGTCTCAGGTTTGACATCCATAACTTCAGTTGAAGCCTACCAGAATGTTAGAAGAACTCAAATGTTGGTGACATAACACAGCGTGCCCACTAGAGGTCACTAGCCTACTAGTACATCTGTAGTTGTGTTCTTCCTGTCCTGTTGTACATGATTGAAGTTTTCGGGCACTAGAAGTAAAATTAGTATGCTTTCCAAAACAATGCAATGAATAGTTTTTGTCAGTTAACTTCATACAAAGTGCAATAAAAAAATAAAAATAAAAAAAAAACTTGATTTAGTGTGACTACCCTTTATCTGTAAAATGGCACCACATTTGTCAGGTAGGTTATTCCCAGCAGCTGGTAGAACTTGCCACAGCTCTTCTGTCTGTGTCTTGTCTCTTCATGTAATCCCAGACTGACAACAGAAAAACACTGAACAAGAAAGAAGGAGGGGGGAAAAAAACAGCTGTCAGTCATTAGGGCAAACTGTGCTGGTGGTTGGCTGTCCCTCTCTCAATAGGTTTGCCCATTGGACAACAAGTAAACCAGTCCTATATATGAGCTGGGAGCTGCTCTCACTCAGCTTCACTGTGCAGGAGGAATGGCAGGTTGGGGAGGCTTCTTCTTTTCTGTCCTCAATTACAAGACAGAGAAATATGTCATTGCTGAAAACAAGAGAATCGGAGTATTATTTAGACTCTATCAGCTGGCAGTGCTGGGGTACATAATCGGGTGAGGTGGTATGCATGTCCCCTTTTTCAAGCATGGAGGTTTTATTAAGTGATTCACAAAGTTAAAAATAGCTGAGCTTGTCAAAGGTTATAACTTTGCTGGTGTTAAAGTGGAAGTGCCACATGGATTTTCACTTTTGGAAAATGTTTTCTTTCTTGAAAAGGGTTTGTGGTGAATTTGTTAATGTCTCAAAGTAGTGTAGAGAGGGGAGCTTACTCTATCCTACCCCTCACTGTACGATGTCATGCTGATGTAGCCTACGTAAGAGATATAGGATATATATGAAACCAAACAGATACCTGGGATAGCCTAGTTTGGGAAGTGTTATCTGGTTTATCGTCACTTGTTTATAAAAGTTAAGATGAGAAAGTTTGTGGTTGCAGTGTGACTGATGCAGGGTGGTTATAAAATTATACTTGGCTCTATATGGTATGTAGTGTAGCTAAGGGAGAGCTGCTCATGTGTACTGATTTTATTGCCATGTCACATCTGAGACTTTGTGGTACTATGGTGCATTTCACTCATTAGATGCTGCTGTCATCCCAGGTACAGTGCCTTGCGAAAGTATTCGGCCCCCTTGAACTTTGTGACCTTTTGCCACATTTCAGGCTTCAAACATAAAGATATAAAACTGTAATTTTTTGTGAAGAATCAACAACAAGTGGGACACAATCATGAAGTGGAACGAAATTTATTGGATATTTCAAACTTTTTTAACAAATAAAAAACTGAAAAATTCGGCGTGCAAAATTATTCAGCCCC